GTAAAAGGGGCTATCAGTTTCGATGATCTAAAAACAGTAATGTTTTATATCCATCTTTTACAGCAGCATGCCTGGCGTTAGGAATTATTGAAGATGACGATGAATGGAGTAAAGCCATGACGGAAGCAGTGTCTTGGATCATGCCAAAATGCCTCAGACATTTATTTGTTCTTATACTGATTCACTGTCAACCTATTTATCCAGAAAAATTATGGGAAACATTTAAAGATTCAATGTCTGAAGATTTTTCACGTAACAACGATTTGAATATCAACTATCAAATGGCCTACTCAGAAATAAATAATATTTTGATTAAGGAAGGAAAAAGTATTGCTGACTTCCCATCAATGGACCAAAATGTAATGATTGACATTATCGATAATTATGACAATGATATTGGAAATCATCGATTACAAATTGGCAATCAACAATATGAAAAATTAAATGATGAACAAAAAAAAATAGTTAATAATATTCTTAAAGCATCGCGTTCAGATAATTACATTGGCTCTACTTGCTTTTATATAGATGGACAAGGGGGATCTGGGAAAACTTTTATTTATACTACTATTTATAATCTATTAATGTCAGAGAATATTAAATGTTCAACAATGGCATACACTGGAATTGCCGCAGTATCACTACCTAATGGAAAGACAGTACATAAAACTTTTGGCTTACCAGTTCCAATGTTTAATGTTCATCTTCAAATATTAAAATACAATCTAACGAAGGCATGATTTTAAAAGATACTAAAGTATTTATTTGGGATGAGGCTCCTATGGCTCCTAGATATGCTTTAGAAATTGTAAATAGAACATTACAATTTATAATGAATAATGATCAACCATTTGGTGGTAAAATAATGGTCTTAGGTGGCGATTTTAGACAATTGCTTCCGATTAAAGTCAATGAAACGCGCAGTGAAATACTAAATTTATCTATTAATAACTCACAATTATGGACATTATTTTCATTATTTAATTTGAAAACTAACATGAGAGTTTTACCATATGAAATTGATTTTGCTAAATATTTGTTAGATGTTGGTAATAGAGCATTACATGATCATGATGATAATATTAAGCTTCCTCAACAATGTATATTACCGCCAAATAAATGTATTGTTCAAAACATTTTCGGCAAGTTAATAGAAGAGAAAAAATTTGATAAAATTAGTCATTGTGCAATTTTATCTGCTAGAAATACTGATGTAGATGAAATTAATGATAGAGTCACTAATTTGTAAGATGAAAGTACAGAGCATATTTACACGTGCATAGATAGTACTGAAAATTATGATACTGGTGATATGGAAGAAGTACTTTTACCAGAATATCTCAACACATTGAACCCCATTAACTTTCCTCCTCATCGATTACGTTTACGAAAATTTTGCATAGTGATGTTGATTAGAAATATTAGTCTTAGTGAAGAATTGTGTAATGAAACAAGATTACAAGTACTTGATTTTTCTAATCATTTATTAAAATGTAAAATATTGACAGGCGACAAGCGCAATAACATTGTATTTCTCAATCGAATTACGTTGTATTGTGAAAATCAAAATCCATTCACGTTTAAAAGACGACAGTTTCCAATTCGATTGGCTTTTGCTATAACTATTAATAAATCTCAAGGATAAACTTTGGATAAAATTGGTATTGATCTTCGAAGAGATGTTTTTAATCATGGTCAACTTTATGTTGCCATGTCTAGAGTGAGATCGTGGGATTCATTAAAAATTTATCTAAGTAATCAAAGACATGATTCCTTAGTTAAAAATTATGTTTATAAAGAATTGTATCATTAATATTTTAATATATTTTACGAATTTTTATTTTTATTATGTACAAGTATATATAATGTATTTTCATATGTCATTAGGTTTGAGCGCGCAAAGCGCGCTATGATGTTCTAGTAAACAAAAAGCGACCAAGGGACGAGACAACAGATATAGCAATAGAGAATACATACAATTACGCAGTAGTATATTCAAATAGAGATGACAAACGATTTTGACATATGGATACGTAACGTAAAGAGACAGAACAAATAAACACTTATACAAACATAACACGCATAAATTGATTTACATTTTATTTCCCGTTTCGTCTCTTACTGCTTTTCACAGGGATATACTTGATAAAGTGATCTTTTGTTTATTTACATAGATCTATATGTTTAGTTTAGCACTTGGATCCAGATGATAGGCCAGAAGGGGCAAAATTCATGCGCTCGCATCGTCACCTTCCGTGGAAGCGAATAAAGTCACACTTTCCCGCAACTTTGTTTGGAGGGGGCGATATAACGGTCGGATAGATCGACTCGGGATTTAATAGAGAGAGGGTGACAAAGGAGGATATCCTCTCTACTGGAAAATCTTGAGTTAAGCAGCGACACACAGCTCATGTGCATTGCGAGCTTGGCAAGGCACTTTGGTTTGGTCCTCCTGACTGATTAGACCTTAGTATTCTCCGCGGGGTCTAGCACTGAGCTCAGAACTCCAATGAGGCCAAGACCTTGATCGAAACCTCTTATCCTATCCTGGACTAGACAGGAGTTAGCTAGGGACGAAGTTCCGCGGGAATAGACAGTGCGCCTATCTCTTGAACGAACGATATCAATTAAATCCAGGAAATTCCTAATCAAAATAATTATTGAACTCATCTTCTTAGTTGAGTATGCAAAACGCGTGCTCAACACACGAAAGAGGCAATAATTTCCTTTCCGTAAATCCGAACAAAAACTTTTCTGTGATAGAGTCGGGTCCACGAACTTGACACTAAACTAACATATCACAAAAGATAATCTCTTTTAGTAACATAATTATAAGAACACAAGCTATTCGACAATGTATTTCGATATGATGAATTATTTTATTGTTAAATTGCTTTTGTAACAGTTTATATTTTGGTGAATAACACTATATACTTCTTCATAGATCCAACAGATAATTGTAATCAATTACGATTTGTTCACCTCAGTCGCTGTTAATTATTTTAGTAAATACTTCAACGCAGGCATGAGTTTCTCATATCCCATTAAATTAAAGATAATATCTCGAAATCTTTATCTACAAAAAGTTTATCAGCTGTTTTCAAGAGTCACTAAACCGTGTTTTCTCATTTACATAGAACGTTTCTAATATATCTACTTTTATATCTAGTTGTGTCAATTTGAAGCCTTTTTTTGACCTGAGTAATAAATTTTAATGAAATATTTTTAATTCATTGCTTTCATTTTAAAGTAATATTTTTCAGAAATTATACCAATATTGATTATGAAAAATTTTATAACTGCTAGGAACTTTTCAAGTTATGTATGTATAGAAGAAATTATGAGACCGCACCCAAAAATAAATCAAAAACTGTCAAAAAATCATCGACGCACACGATTCTGTAATCCAGCTGACATTACTGTCTCTTAAAATTTTTATCTCTACCAGTCATTCTATCTTTCGCTCTCCTCGCGTTTATTGTTTCTCTTTCTCTGTAGTCGTCAGTCACTTCTGGCTCTAACAATCAGCTTATTCGTCGCACTTAGAATATAGAAGCAGGTATGAGAGTATATACCCATATTCTCTCAGCCTGAAGGCGGCGAAGGAATGATTGTAAGAGCTAACGCACGAATCAGCAAAGCCGTAATTTTCTATTACAGTATATGCATCGCTACGATCTCTTCTTCTGTTATATCTTTTGTTAGTAAATATTACACTAATCAGAAAATTCGACCTACGACTCTATTTACAAATATTAATTGTGCAGAAAAAAGGAAGATATGCTTCAACTACTGAGTAACCTTCTGGGCGTCCTGGTTGCGATATTTATGCGCGTAGACGTGCGCAAAAAAGTTTGAAATCTAAGAAAGAGAGGAAACACACATTTAACTTCACTGGTAATTGAAACAATAACATAAAAGATGTATTACCGACCTATTATGAAAATAAAAATATATAGAATCACCAAAAAAAGAAACAAAAATTGTAGCTCGGAAATATCGTGTTATCTGCGGTATCCAGGGAGAAAATCAACCATTACGAGCCGGTAAAAATGCTCTCGGTTGGACAAATAGAACCTCCGGTCGGCGATACTAGCAGATTCCGCGCGCATTCAGTGATAGAGAGAAAGTGAAAGAAAAAGAGAAAGAGCACCCGTCATCGAGTCCGTTGCTACTCTTGTCGTTGTTCCTGTTAATGTTGCTATTATTATTGGATTTCGGGGCACCAGTAGCAACTAATAAAGTACCAATGAAGCCATTTACAAGGTTGGAACTTCGGCTTACCAAACCAAACATCAACGAGATCAAGTCAAAATAGTCCAGCGATCCGCAACAATGCGGTTTTCAGGTGCGTTCACTCGTTGAGCCATCGATTCTCCGTGTCTCTATGTGTTTCTTTATTTCTCTCTCCGCACACGTTTTCGCCATTACGGCTCACCAAAATTCGCGCCACTCCCCACTTCCGGCTCCATCAATCAATATCTTAAGCAGACAGATCAGGCATAAGTATTGCGTTTACGCAAATATATATGCACCCAATCTGACATTGATGCAGATATGAAGAGATAAAAGACAGAAAAGCAATCGCTAGCAATACAGTTTTCTCCGTCATAATTTTAAGATAAATTTGAATCTGTATTATAAAATATTAAAATGATAGGTTAAGTCATGAAATTTTACAATTAAAAGAATATCAAAACATCACCAAACGCGTTTCAATCATAATTTAAGTGTTAATCAATTTTTGTTCTTTCAGTTAAAATGTTATTGATTTCGATAAATTTCGATGAATCATTGTATATTTTTATAGAATACTTCAATATTTGTAAATATATGTCATGAAATTAAGGTTCTAAAGATTTTGAAAATAAAAAAAAATGATATTAAAATATTCATCGTAGATCTAAAGCTGGTGTATAACGAAAAATTATCGACTATTATTTATGAATAATAAGATTTATGAATAATAAATAAAGTATAAATAAATAAATTGTCTACAGGATCAATCAGAATGGCATCGCATTATTCCGGACCGATGTACACAGCGTTGAGTGCTGTCGCTCAAAGAGTTGGCAACTTTGGTGGTTTTGGTGGTTTCAATAATCAAACAGTGGTAGATAAGGCACCACCCGAAATTCATCATATGATTGATCCTTATTGGTATCAATTCCCTCCGATGAATCCTCTTTGGTACGGAATTCTCGGATTTGTGATCGGATGTCTTGGTTTTATCTCAGTGATTGGCAATGGAATGGTCGTCTATATTTTTGCTAGTACAAAATCTCTCCGTACTCCGAGTAATCTTCTTGTCATCAATCTTGCATTCTCAGACTTTTGCATGATGTTTACCATGTCACCTCCAATGGTATGCTTTAACTGCATTATTTATTTAATATATAACACAAATAAAACAAAAGTGTAGCTAAAATAGTTTAAAATAGTTTTATACTTTTAGTATAATGATATTATATATAAATAGATTTGTATCTATAAAGATTGCTTAAATAACTCTTTTATTGTTGAGATATCTCATGTTGAAATTCCTGTTTCATGATTTTGAATCTGCTATATTTAATTTTTTTAAATTATGAATATCATTCAAAAGTTTAGATAAAAACTGTAATGTATTATAATATACATGATCTATCTAAAATAGAACTAGATCGCAATATCTAATTAATCGAAATTAAGTTTGAAACGAAAACAAACTTGAAAATTGTCTTTCTTTATTTTAAATTAAAGGTTATTATAGAAAAAAGAAAAATTTTTAAAATCTTTCCCTGAATTATAAAAGAAATCCTTTAAAAATAGCGATATATGAATTTTTCTAAACAAAATTTCAAAGTTATCGTAGTTAAAAATATAGTCAAATTCGACTATACTTTATGCTCCAAATGTTTTGAAGTTAAAGGATTTTGATTCATGAACTGTTGGGTTACACTAAAGTTTATAAGTTTGGAGTCAGTGGGCTTGGAGTTTGAAGACTTAGAGTTAATAGATTTGGATTCGGAGACTGTGGATGTAGGATTTGTGAGTTTGAGTTGATATGTACTAAAAGAATTCTGACTGTAAATTTTTTAAACTACTATCAACTGTCTGACCTCTAAAAAATCCCTAATAGATTTTCCCATATATTTAACTACTAAAATTTAGAAGTTCAATATGTGATAAAAGGAAAGATATGTATAAGTATTGCGGAATGGCATCTCGACTGGCGTACGTCTAAAATTTTTTTACCCATATCTTGTGCAATCTTTCAAAATTTGTTTTGACTTGAATACCTGCGAAAATCTGAGTTGGAACTCATTGTCTTTGCTAAACATACGTATTTAGGATGGTACTTTACTGGTTTGCGATAAATATGACTCTTGAATTACATTTAGTATGTTATTCTAATGTCCGTCTTTGTCTCTATGTAATAAATTGTTATAAGAATGTAACATTCGTCTAATGTTTTCAGTAAGATAAATTAAAAATTGTAAGTTGTCATTTCATATACATGTTTGTTTATTAAGGGAGCCAGCCAATTTTTTGGGTAGAAAAAATTGATTTTTTTTTATTTCCTTTTTTAATGGAAATTCTCGGAAACAGATACCGTTTTTAGATTTAAACAATATTCTTCCATTAAAAAGTTGTCAAAAAAGATTTTTTCGCTATTTTTCATAAACTTAGGAATTACAATTTTTCGACACGCAACTATATTTATGACTATTCTATACTACAATGTTCATTAATACCAATTTAAATCGTCATGTTTACATGCTCAGTTCATAAGCTATACATCGCGTTTAATAATAATTTGTATTATGACACTGAAAATGGTCTTTTTTTTTGAAAAAATGATATTTGTAATACTTCACCGTTGGTAAATGCTGATTACCGTATTTTCCGGTGTATACGACCCACCGGTGTATAAGACGCACCCCAAAATTTGAAGGCACATTTTGAGAAAAAATGAAAATTTTGATAAAAATTTAGTTTTGAGGAAAAAAATTCGTTTAATTGTAATAAAGCACGTCTTTTTTGTGAATTAAAGTTAATTACGGGATGATAAAAAAATATTGATATCTGTTAGCCGACGATGATTAGATACATTGCCGTTGCATATCTCTTACCACGGGGAGGTCGACAATCAAAAGAGACATTTTATATTTTTTTTGTTTTTTATTGTTTTTTTTATTTTTTTTTCGATTTTTGTTGATTTTTAAAGTTTTTTTTGCATTTTTTAAATATTTTTTGTTGTTTTTTTGTATTTATTTTTCATTTTGTTGTGTTTTATTTAATTTGGTTGTTTTTTTGCTGAAATTTTTATCTTACAGAATCTAACAAATGAGACCGAAATTGATCAAGAACCAGAAGTGCTTTTTTCTTCAAGAAGCCGCCTTGTCTTCTACACCAGACTTTATGTATCCAAATTTTCTTACCACCTTCATCCATCCATCCTTTTAGGTATACGTGCACTATTACACCTGTCGGTATTTTATCCTTAGGCATAGTTTTACGTTTAAAAATGATCATTGGAAGTAGCTTTACATCATCAGCACAGCAAGCAAGAACCACGGTGTAGTGGAATTGTTCATGACCACTTGTCTTTATCGTAATCGTTTTTTGTCCTTTTTTCGAAACACTTTTAGTTGACGAAACATCGAAGTTCATAGGTGTTTCATCCATATTTGCTTTCTGTCCGATTTCAAAACTCATTGCTTGTCTACGGTGAATTATATTCCGGTGAAAAGAGAGAATTTTGTCTTCGTACTATTTTGGCATTTTTTGACAAATTTTTGTTTTCACTCGTATAGCTAAACCATTGCGTTTCATGTAGCGGTGACATCATGAAGGACTTCCTTTAAAATCATTTATTTGACTTTTTAAAGCTACTTTTTGTGTATGTATGCGTATCATTTTCGTTGAAACAGCTAAGCCTTTGGAACGATTATCTTCAATCCATTGTTTAACTTCATCCTCTAATATAAGCCACTTGCTTTTTTACCACATTGCGCATGCTTTGATTTATGCATTTTAATCAAATTACTCTTCTGCGAACGCCAAAGCCTTTTTTCCTTAGTTTTTTCCCTTCGGTGGTGGGCCGAAATGATCTTCGGCAGTTCTATTGCCATGTTCATCAGCAAATTTGATCACATTCAATTTGTAGCCCGCTGTGTACGATTTTCGTTTGTTAGTTTCGCTCATATTGGAATTCAAGTCAGTCTCTTACTTCAAAAAACACTTTCAAAATTATATTGAAATAAACGATGCAACAAAAATACCGTTTTTATAAAAAATCTCGTATTAATTATCTAGTATATTATGCGACATTTTTTGATCCCAAGTGGCATATAGGTAATAGGTATTTTTTATCATCCTCAGACATAAAGTACGTTTACTATATATTATTGAAATAATAAAGAACTTACCTATTAAATAAGTAATCACTCTGTCATTGGCTAGTTTTGAAAGATATTCATAGTTAGTGAGGGTTGTCTAATTGCTACTATTCAGGCGCACGTTTTAGTTAGGTTAGTGGATTTGGGGTGTCTTACATTCGGTGTATAAGAGGCTGGTTTTGGAGTCAGGTTTGACGGTAAAAAGGTGCGTCTTATACACCGGAAAATACGGTATCTGATGAGTATACGTTCTATCAGAAAAGTATCATTTTATACTATCCATGAATAAAATTTGCAATTTTCATTGCAAAGGGATATTTTTAATTTCACACGATTTTGCATATATTAGTGCTCGGTGTATAATAATTTATTTATTTTAATTAGTCGAAAGGTTCATTTTTGAGTTTAACTAGTGAAATGGAGTTGTTTATCAAAGAAAATTGAAACATGGCTGATTAAGATCATAAAATACCAGATTCTCATGGAAGAATATCTGTGTATTCTATATTAGCTATTGCATTGATCAGCTGATCGATTAGTCACGTGATGTTTCGTATAGAAGAAATAAAAATCACTTACTCGCGCGATTTGGTTACATGATGTTCTTATAATAGCTTATTATCACCTATTTATTAAATTTTTTAATTTTTTCCTAATCTTTTCGTTGCTTTCCACTTTCCTTTTCCAATTTTTTTCTTTCATCTTCCAATCCTCTTTGATCTTGCTTCCAGCTCTTTTCGTCTCTTTTTCTCTGATATTTTTAACTTCTCTCTATCTTTTATCAATCTTTTTATTTTTTTTCATTTTATCTATTTTATTTATTTTTCTTTTCCTTTAAAACTTTTTTCCATTTTTAACTTTGTTATGTCTGTGTTTTCTTTTGGTTCTATTTATACCTCTCTATTTATTTCTTATTTCGTTTCCTTTTTTCTTCTGTTTCCTTTTTATACGTGACTTTAAACATTTTTGGAATTTTTTTCTCCCCGATGATTTATTCCCCATTTTCTATCCTGTAAATATATATTTATACGTTTTCAGACACTTTTTATATAACCTGTCTTATATATATGGATACAAGGTCTGTTCAAAAAGTATTGCGAATTATGTATTTTTTTCAAAAAGTATTCATTTATTCGTGAATATCTATTTTGTTCCGTTCAAAGTAATCCATCGGATATAATATACTTGTACGAATGCTTTTTCCAATCCTCATAGCGCTTAAAAATCAATTTTTTATAATCTTGTTCAGCTCCTCTTTCGACGCCGTCTTTATCTCTACAATCGTAGTGTAGTGTCGTCCTTTCATGGGCCTCTTTAATTTTGGAAATAGCAAAAAATCACAGGGGGCAAGATCTGGGGAATAAGATGGCTACGGCACCATTACTGTTTTGTTTTTAGCCAAATATTCGCGCACAAGCAATGAAATGTGAGCAGGGGCGTTATCATGGTGCAAAAGCCAGTTTTTATTCATCCACAAATCCGGACGTTCTGCCGGTTTGCTTCGCGCAAATTGCGCATAACTTGTAGGTAATATTTCTTATTGGCCGTACTACCCTGTAGTAAAAACTCATGATATACCACGCCCCTGCAATCGAAGAAAACTGTGAGCAAAACCTTCACGTTCGACCAACCTTGGCGCGCTTTTTCGGTCTTGGCTCACGCGGCAGCTTCCATTGAGATGATTGAGCTTTCATTTTCACAATCATAACCATAAACCCATGATTTGTCACCAGTTATGACCCTCTGAAACACATTTAGTATTAATTTTAAGTATTATTATTAATACAAGAAACAAAAGTTGTGCATTTTGATCGACGCTAAAAACGGAACTACTCGATAAATCTGGTTGAAACTTCGGCAGCACTCTATTTAACAGTGACGCTTGCTGGTATAACATGGTTAGATTGCTTTAAGCGCCATCTCTTGGATTTTCTAACGACTTATTGATCCACCCTTCTATTCTCACACTCTGCAGGATGAC